TTTATTTCCACAACTAATTCTCCACACCAAGCTTAATTCACACACCAAAACATTAAATTTTATCAGATAACAAATGTCCTAATATATTACGTCCTTATCTTTTAGTTAAAAAGTCAGGGTGCAGCCTTTTACTTCAATAAGATTAAAACAATTCATCACCTGGATCACGATGGTTAGTCATCAAAATCAGCTAGGCGATATTTGAAATGATGCTGCAGACAGGGCCTCTGTGGTGGTACTGTTATGTAAGTGGTGGTGTTGCGGTCATCACTCACATATATAGGAGTGTTATTATGATGCGTTGAACACGGGCGTCAGATGCATACAGTAGATCGCTAGCGGATGATATGGTGATTGTGCTGTTGTGCTGATATGGCTTTAATTGAGCAATGGCCAGGAGTACTATCAGTAAACTAGTAGCAGGTCTGGCATGAAATTTTCCGATTTTCAAAAGTGGTCGTAATTATTAGTTTTGAAGTGCTTTTGTAACTAAGAAGTTTATTGAGTGAGTGCCTAAATGTTGTTAGATAGTATACCTAATACAAGTTATGTTGTGGGTGTGTGATTTTGTGACCGTTGAATTTCCTTAAAACCTGGAATATTATTCAGGAAAAAAGGGGTTTGCCTAGCCTTCCTCGTTGTTGCCTCTGATGGTGTTTCCAATAGCACACACGTTTTGCCTTAGACTTGTAAATGTTTATTGAAAATAAGCTGGGAAGACAAAAAAAAGTTTATATTTAAGTTTGTTTCAGTGATGGCAAGCAGTGACCTTTAAAACATACTGATTGTCTAAAGTGTTACACCGTATTTAAGAACCAGTCAGAGCTAGTCTCATGGCTGAGTTAACTGTCGGGATATTACTTGGAAAAAGGCCTGATTGATTTTTGGCACTGTTTTCAGGGAAGTATTTCATCCTGTGCATTAATATAAGTGGCGTTTCTTTCACAGATTATTCCATGAATAGTGAAATTCCATACTCTTTCAAAGCTATCCCTCGGTGTGCAGCAATTGGCCGTCCTTGTAGAAATAGTGACGTCACCTGGCATAAACCTTCTCACACCTTGTTTCTGTTTTTGTGAATAGTGACTCAATGTGTGATTTTGGCAGCGAACCCCAGAACGAGGGAGCAGAAATTGAGGTGGATGAACAAGCAGTGATAAATTTGAAGCCTGACTTTTAAACGGTAAGTGCCTGTTCATTTTGTACATGATACCCTTTTTTTTTTCCATGTAATCTATTCAATCCTGGCCTCTAACGGCATGTATGTGTTTGCTCCACGTTAATTTATCCATACGATTATTACTCCGAGAAACGTGCCTCAGTCACTTGATCTATCACTACTCCAGCTATGGAAACATTAATGTTAGAAAAGGGTTGTCCGTTTCTAATGATTGGCTACATACCATAAAGTGAGTTTTTTTTTGAGATTGAGAGCAAGTCCGATGCTATCAACCTCCATTTGATCCATGATCGAGGTTATTTGATTTAGTTTGAACTGAACCTCTTGCTCGTGTAAACCATAACTATGATATTCGCATCGTCTGCGTACATATAAACTTAGCTAAATTTGAGATGTTTTGGGAAGGTCGTTGTGATAGATCACAAGAGTAATGGTCCCAAAATCGACCCCTGGGGTACTCCAAAACCTGATTTCTTGGGCCTCGCGTCCGTCTTCTCCACCGACAGTCAACGAATTGGTGCGCCGCTCAGATAAGGACTCGAACATTTAAGTGCTGAACCTTTAATGCCGTAATTTCCAGTTTTTTTAGTAGTATAGGATGTTTTCATAACGTCACAAAGCTTTAGATAGTCAAGAAGAAGCAGCACAGCAATTTGCTTACTGTTGAAGAGTGTAGAATACTATTTTGACAATTAGTAAAGCGTGTTCACATGACATGCCAGGCCAAAACCGTACTGGCTTTCAAAAAGTGATCCATTGAAAGTCTAAAAATTCCAGAATATTCGACTATGCATAAGTTTTTCCGTAAATTTTCGAGAACGAGCTTAGCAAAGAGATTGGTCTGTAAATAAGTAACTTTCCTGTATTTAGAAAGCCACCTTTTGTGTATCGGAACACACTCGTGCCGATTTTAGAGCATTAGGAAATATTCCCTCCGTAAAGGATGAAGTTATGATTACGGCCAACGTTTTTTTGTGAATTTCGTATCTAGCTTGCAACTGCATTGGTTTCAATTTTTGTGTTCAAGTGTCGCTTTGTTCTTTTGACTTTTTACTACTTACTGATATTCAGAGGGGAATCAGGTTCTTAAACTCAATACTGCTAGTACCTAAATCCGTCCTAACGTCCGTCCTGTAAGAATTCTTCAAAACCTCCTCCTGGAATCGAAAGTTTGCCTAGCACTTATCTGGGACTTGAATGTTGCTTGCAATGTTGGCAAATACTCATTAAAATTTAGCCGATACATCGGAATGGCTGCTGAGAAATGTTTCCACATTCATCCTTTATTTTAATAGGCCCAGAGTGCCTACATTTCTACCCAGGCGACTATTAATAAGTTGCCACAGCTTTTGGAGTTGTCGCGGTACTCCTCAAAAAAAAAGTTTTTGTAGTACTTTGGGTTTTGGGCCAAATTAATATGTTTGTTACAAAATTTATTAATTTTTTTTGTATACGCAGCAATATTTGTCACGCTGGAACTTTTATCTTATCGTGGTAGAGACGTTGTCTACCGGGCACATGCATCTTCTAGCACGGTAAAGACCAGGGTTTTGATCGTGCCGTTCATTTTTACGTCCCTAGCCAGTTTCTTTCTAGGATATGCTTGATCGAAAGTTTGGAATAATTCACTGAATTTGTCATACTGGTCTTTCGCATAGTTTCTCTGTGCACCTCATCACACACGTTTCGCTCTCAAAAATTCTTTGAATCAGCAATGTGCAGCCGCATTGAACCCTGCGGAGTTCGGCACCTTCTCACAGTGGACACCAAAAAATAAGTAAAAGCTGATCCCCAGCAAAACACGTGACTTACCCAATATACTTCCGGATTCAATAAACCTGAGACGCAAAAGCTTCCATCTCCAGCCTGGGAATTGTGGATTCTTGATTTCAATACAACTAGGAACTGGAAATTGCAGTCTTCTTATTCCTGGTTGCTGATATCATCTAAACAGGGAGTAAAGGACATGTAGGTTTCACATTCTCCCCTCACATAATCTTTACACTGCCAACAACACTGGAAACAGAAGCATTCCATTGAAAATGTCATTTAAAACGTAATCTACCAAATTATTACAGTAAAGTTAACAGTACCGTTACCAACAAATTCAAGTAAGATTCAGAAAAAAAAAACATTTGATTTTGAGAACGGGACAATTATTATTCAGATAGTTTAAGTTTTAAGTTAAATTTTAGTTGTACAGAAAATGACTATAAATACCATATAGTATTGATAAACAATAAGTCAACTCCTATCTTCGTAGTAACTTACAATATTCAACTGTAACACCTCCTCCAGATTATCGTTATCATCACGGTATGTAACCCCCTCTTTAGCAACTCTAGAGGGGTTACTACTCTATTTTTAGAAGCTTTCCTGCACTCTTCAAGTTCTTCTTGGAGAATCTTCCTGAATGTATCTCTCTCAGCAGTGGTATCTGGTAGGAACACTAATGTGTGTCTTGTGCAGTGTTGGCAATCTCTTCTGTTTTCTTTATCTTCGTCAACAGCTTAGTAGATAACCATCATCCAACATTCCTAGATACTCAAAATCATCTATCTCTTCTCTTTCTTCTCAGGGTCAGGTACCGACTCAGGTAACCAATAAGAAGGACGGGGAATATTGTCAATATTCTCGTACACTTCTTCTGTTACTGAGTATGGTGGGAGTTTTCTTTTTGTGTTACAGACTTAGCAGTATTAACTCTGTTGTTACCCAGAATGTGTTATCAATTCTCACATTGTCAGTTTCACCTCTTATGATAACTACTGCTACTTTATCGGAGTTACATGTCACTACGTTCAGTATCGTTGTGTGTACCGCTACAAGAGGGTAAGTTTGCATTAGGATTCAGGTGTTGTTCTGGCTATGCTTTGCATTGTGTATGTTACTTTTGTTAGTACGTCGCTTTGGTATGGTCGCCCCTCATTATCTAGAACAGTCATTCTATCCATATCTTTGAGCACCTCCTTCACTTTATTTGTTATACCTGCGGAATAAACAATTTAACATGATAGTCGTATTTAAAATGCACTAGCAACATGCAATCAATTACAATTACGAAATCTATACTATGCAGTGGTTTACGAGAACAATTAAATGTATATTTATGTGTAAGACATCAAAGTACCAAAATAAAAACTAACTCGTCCCTGATCTTGTTGTGATTAGTTATCATACACTCAAGTGCTCGATCAAGACAAGTATCTGCTGGTCCCTTGTTTTTATTCCTACCAAACTTATACTGTTCCTCGTCATCGTCCGTACATCACTACTCTTGGTCTGACAAAAGTTCATTATAGAAGGTCAGGGGGCAGCTCAATACTATCTATCTCCTCATCTGAGGACTCTTCCATTCTCCCGTAAGCATACCCATTAATATATAATAACATAACATTGTTGTTTCAAAAACAAAACATCATGAAACTGACTAATATTTATGCATAAAAGAAACACTAGCAAAAAGGTTTCTAAAAACAATACGATTATGATTCAAGATTCAAGCTATAAAATTCAAATAAATAAGAAGATATAATGTAACTAACATGTCAACCAGGAATTTCTCCCAGCCACCAGAATAAGTCTCACAAGTAATTTTATAGAACTCCTCCTCAGACATAATAGGTCTAGTTAGCCTCACATATTTCATGTTAAACTCAGGTTTTCTGCAATCAGTTTTACACACATCTACAGGACCTTCTTACCGAGGTGAGATGCAAAGATTCTTGTTGCAAGTAGATCTTGTACTGCTGGTACAGAAGTCCCAGGTTCTGAGTGTAGGCACATCTCTAGCTCCTCTACTTCAGGAGCTTCAGCTTCTTCAGGCTGATGAACTTGTCTTACACCAGTCCATACAATCTAGCTGTTCTACTTTTATACTTTTTAGTCTCAACTCTTCCAATCTTATGGGTACCTTCCTGGACATCTTCTTTTTGTTTGGAGATTTCTTCTTCGTATTGACTACAGGACTGTCTTTGTCACTGTCCTGAGCTGTACCTCTCAGCGGGGTTTTCTGGGATCAATATTTAACAACCTCCTCAAGTTTTATTACCCATCTCATACTCTGATTCAGCAATATTTCATCTGCGATATGAGATAATGTTAATTTTAAAAGGAAATGAGTTTTGACACGACCGATTTAATACTACTGTGTCAAAATACTAATTTCACAAAATCGCGCAATAATTTGGATCAATCACAGTAGCTATTTGAAGTTGAGCAGAAAGTTTCAGATGTTTGAGAGGTTCATTAATTTAGTTCAGTATTTGTTTAACAGATGAAAAATAAATTTTTACACTGTGAAGTAGGCTGAGGTATTTCCTTCCCTCCCATTACGATAACATATAAAACGACGAAAGCTAGTGGCAACAAAAGTTTCATTTGAATTTCAAATGCAGGCAAGGCTTCTCTGTCAGCCTTTATATACGCTATTTCGCCCATACAAATGCTACTATCTGTAGGCGCTAAAGCAATATTCAACGTCAGGTCACGCTGCTCTGTGTTCAATATGTTGAGATTTGCTCTTCTTTTCAACTTTTAAAACACAAACTTGTAAAATCTAACATGGCGGCTTCATACGTCAAACATTTGACACCCCAATGCTACAGATAAAGAGTGTCGAAAGACTGAAGATTTCTTTTTCTTGTACATACATACATGTTACATGAAGAGGTCTCCTCCTAGTCGTTGGAGTGGCCTGCATCACACACATCTCTTCTACGGCGTAACATGTTCCTCCATTCCACTCGCTTTAGAGCCAACTGTTTTACTGCATCTCTGCTGATGTTATCGACACATGTAAATTCAGCTGCATCCTCGAGTACACAGGCCATCCAGCCTTTGCGGGGTCTTACTCTCAGTCTCTTTCCATAGTTTGGTTTCCAATCCAGTAAGAAATTGGGAAACCGCGTCTCTGGCATTCTGACAACATGTCCGTACCATCTTAGTCTAGCCGCACCGATGAAAGTTTCGATAGACTTAATTCCAGCACGCCTGAGAACTTCTTCATTGGAGACATGGAAGAACCACTTTATCTTCAAGATTCTTCTTAGGGAGGTCAGATGGAAGACCTCAAACCGTTTCATCTGCTTCTTTGTTGTGTTCCACACTTCAGCTCCATATAACAGAATAGTAATAACAGCAGCCTTGTAGATACGGATCTTGGTGGGCGTTCTTATAGTTCGACTGTTCCATATCTTCCAAAGCTGATGAAACGCACCATTAGCACGCTGGATCCTGATGTCAAGATCTCGGTCAATGGTACCATCCCCACTGATGTTGGCACCAAGATAAAAAAGTTGCTGACCTGTTCAACAGGTTCTCCCCCCACTGTTAGCTTTATACTGTCTCTTTCGGTGTAAGGTCGCTGGGACGCACACTTGCTGATCGCCATGCATTGTGTCTTTTTAGCGTTGATCTTCAACCCAGCATAAGAGGTGTAATAAGCTATAAGATCAGTGGACTCTTGCAGCCCTTCTTCAGTATTGTCCATCACTGCCAGATCATCAGCGTAGTCACTATCCATGATAACTTTATCATCTGCACCCTTTAGTTCCTTTTGCGGTACAGCACCATGACTGATCGCCTTGTGAACCTAGGCCAAAAAGATTCCAAAGTTCAGACAAAAATTAAATACAGGAGGGCCCTGGATATCACCCTGTCCAGTGCCCGAATTAACAGAGAACCAATCAGACATTTCACCATTAACCCTGACAGCACTCATGGTTCCGTTGAAGAATGCCTGAAAGATTCTAACATATTTCTCAGGAAGTCCATAGTGTCTCATTCTTGACCAAATGAACTCTCTTCTGATGGAATCAAACGCTGCCTTAAAGTTAAAATCAATGAAATTAACATAAAGTGGAATGTTCAACTCAATGCAGTTGTGAATAATGGTGCGGATGGAATAAATCTGATCAATACATGAGCGGTTCCGTCTGAACCCACACTGATTTTCCCTAAGAAGACACTCCATTCCACCATCCAGCCTCTTAAGAAGAACCATTTGAAGAACCTTAGAAGACGTTGCCCTAAGAGTTATACCCCTATTATTGCAGCAGTATGAGGTGTCGCCCTTCTTTCCGATAACCACTATAACACCTTTAAGCCAATCCTCAGGGATCACCTCTTCCTCCCATACCTTTTTAAACAGTAGCTCTAGTTGGCCAACAAGAGCACTTCCACCATACTTAAGTTGTTCATTAGTTATCTCATCAACCCCTGCACTTTTGCAGTTCTTCAGTTTCTTTAGAGCATAACTAATCTCATCTCTAGAAGGAGGTCCATCAGAACAAGAAAGGTAGTCAAAACTCGGTTGTGAGGGCACACCATCGAGGTCATCAAGATTGGCATCCGATAGGTGGAGGATTTAAGAGTGCTCCTTCCACCTTTCCTTCTGACTGTCCGGGTCTGTAATGAAATGACCATCCTTATCCCTAACTGACATACCCACTTTCTTCTTCTTTTTCCCAGAAATCTTCTTTATCTTATCCCAAACTTCCTTTTGCTGGCCTTTCTTAGAAGCCTCCTCTAGATCAGTCGCTATTTTAGTAGCCCAGTTGTTGTCGTCAATTTTACAACTTTTCTTAACTAATTTATTAAGTTTAGAGTAGGCTGATCTATTGACGTTTGAAGTGGGATCCCTCCGTTTGAACATTCCCCGTTGCTCTATCAAGTTCTTAGAGGTTTGCGAAAGGTGTTGTTCTTTAACCTTCCGGGGACGCTTTCCAAGCACTTCCATCGAGACATCAGTGACTGTCTGCTTGAAATTATCCCACATGTCCTCAAGGTTGACCTCATTAGCCAGACAATCAAAACGGTTCTGAAGAGCCACGTTGTACTCTTGAACCTTAGACAAGTTTCGCAAATGTTCGATAGCAGGCACATCGTGCCTTTTAACAGTGATCTTAACTACCGACTGCAGTTTGATTTGCAGCCGTCCACGAACAAGATAGTGATCTGAACAAATGTCCGCCCAACGACATACCTTAACATCGAGTAGCGAGTGTTGGAATCGTCCACTAATACAAATATGATCTATTTGATTCACAGTTATGAGTTAACCCGATGGGAGACCGCCATGTACCCTTGTGGATGTCTCTATGCTGGAACAGAGTTCCACCAATAACAAGTTGATTGGCTGCACAGAAATCCATGAGCCTGGTCCCATTTTTCTTGTATCACTGGTCAATGGTCCTGCCTACCTGCCTAGGTCGGTCCAGATGAAATCAATGGTCTAACAATGTAATATATTGAAGAATCTGTAACTTACTATCACTTTATATCAGTGCAATAAATTTTCATACTGAAAGCTCAAAATAGCAATGAAAATAAAGTAAAATAATAACTTATCGGGATCTATACTGTTGCCACCATTTTTTCTTCACCATGGCTGGACTTAGGTGGCCAAGATAGCATCAAGATGCTCTGCCTGCCTCTGGGGTATGGCATCCCTACTAGGTCGCCAAGATAGCATCAAGATGCTCTGCCTGCCTCTGGGGTATGGCATCCCTACTAGGTCGCCAAGATAGCATCAAGATGCTCTGCCTGCCTCTGGGGTATGGCATCCCTACTAGGTGGCCAAGATAGCATCAAGATGCTCTGCCTGCCTCTGGGGTATGGCATCCCTACTAGGTCGCCAAGATAGCATCAAGATGCTCTGCCTGCCTCTGGGGTATGGCATCCCTACTAGATGCCGGAGTTTACTTTGTGGAGATGATAAAATAAAAGTGAGATAAAGGGGGTGAGTAGATGCTGTAGACTGTAGTGCCGATTCGGTGATGACTAGAGAGAATGAAGTGAACAAACATGTGTTTTGTGTATCCAGGGCTTTGCAGTCTGATCCAGATCCTCTGGCACCATGATTTAAACTGGCGTTTTTGTCGTCGATAGGGTGTTTAATGAAAAATTGTGGAATGGGGCAGATCAAAGCCGAAATAACGGAATATGGAGTTGTTAGAGTTTTTTATTTAGAGCATAAAAACTTGTGGTTTTATTTAACATTTAAATATTGGTAATCTGTTAGTTGTGGTTTCATGATATTCAAATAATGATATTTTGTTGGCGCGTACAATTAATTAACTCTAATCCTGCTCAGATGAGGAGAAAGATTCGGTAAAAGAGAAAGGCGAGAAGAGAAAGAACGTTCCTTTGTGGAAACCCAACGGTCCCAATGGAAATGGCATGGTCAGTAAAACTTTCTTACTATTATTATTTGTTTTAGATCGTTTTGTAAATAAGAAACTTCGATTGTAAAGAACTCAGCTTCATTTAAAATATTAAAAGAGTAGCCAAACGTTGAATATCATTCTCAATTTCAAACATTATCAAACAAAAGAAATGGTTAAATCTCACATTTACACCCCTTTAAGAAATTCTAATAAGAATAAGAGCTTCTTGATCCTTGTTTAGATGTAAGAATCTATCTTAGTTCCTCGTGGACTATATAATGTATACTATACAATATAATGTTATTCAATGTATATTATACCATATATACCATTTATACAGTATATACAATGTATAGTATACCATATTGTATACCATGTATAATGTATATACAATATATTTATAGTACACACGTGGTATTATTATCATTAAAAGTGTATTTAATGATAAACCATTTGTAGGTTTACTGGGGTCTGGTATAGGGAGGCAAAGTTGTCAGGTTTTATTGCAGCTATTTCAGCAGCGTCTGCGCGGCGCAAGCCTTTTCTAGTATCAATTAAATAATAACCAACGTAAACTGAAGATCAAATCATTGCTGAATCGTTTGTCGTATCAATGTTACCAGAACCTATTTTAGCTTCGTATGTTAGTTGCTCCTTCTTCTTGCCCATGTTGGGCGGATCAAACCATTCCTCAATCACCTCACGACACTTGTACCTAATCCTGCTCTGCAAGCACGTGAGAACAGACTGTCCCTTCTCTATACTGTCCTGCCGGGCTACGTACAATATTTCCAAGAACACTGTTACAAACGACAGTGAGGCTCCTACCCCCAGAATAAGGAAAAGTCCCACTAGAATAGGCAACCCGAACTTAGTGTCACTCCCAACTGAGGTAGCACAGGCTGCCACGTCGTCGCTGGAGTACCACTCATCGAACTTGCTGGTGAACCAGCCCTTCTCCCGGTACCTCAGGAACATCTTGTTAATCAGGGCGGTGTAGGGAGAGTTCACTTGTGTTCCAAACGCCCACTGGTTGTTGAATTTACCCGTTTTTATGAGCATTGTTTTGCAGTCGCCCTTGAAATTGTAGGACAGAACCGAACTGTCGTCTATGAAGACAAACCCACCCTCTTTAACTTTGTCAATTCCCTCCTGAAGGTCCTGCAGTTGCACTCCCTTCTCAGCTATCTTGTTGTACTCCTCATCGTCATGACTGGACATCATGATCTGCAGGTTCCTGTCCTGGATGAGTCCCCACTTGTAGTCGTTTTGCACCAGCAAGTCAGACAGGCCTCGTATTGTGGCAGTAGACCTGTCTAGAGTGAGATGGGCGGTGAGGTTGGCGGTGTACATGGAGGTTAGTATCATGATGAACAGCCACCAGATGAAGAGAAGGAACCGCCCTGAGGGGGCTGTTGGGAGAGTGTCTGTTCCTTGCAACACGAACCCTGGGGGATAGTGGGTTAGTTGGGAGAGTGTCTGTTCCTTGCAACACGAACCCTGGGGGATAGTGGGTTAGTTGGGAGAGTGTCTGTTCCTTGCAACACGAACCCTGGGGGATAGTGGGTTAGTTGGGAGAGTGTCTGTTCCTTGCAACACGAACCCTGGGAGGTATAGTGGGTTAGTTGGGAGAGTGTCTGTTCCTTGCAACACGAACCCTGGGGGATAGTGGGTTAGTTGGGAGAGTGTCTGTTCCTTGCAACACGAACCCTGGGGGATAGTGGGTTAGTTGGGAGAGTGTCTGTTCCTTGCAACACGAACCCTGGGGGATAGTGGGTTAGTTGGGAGAGTGTCTGTTCCTTGCAACACGAACCCTGGGGGATAGTGGGTTAGTTGGGAGAGTGTCTGTTCCTTGCAACACGAACCCTGGGGGATAGTGGGTTAGTTGGGAGAGTGTCTGTTCCTTGCAACACGAACCCTGGGGGATAGTGGGTTAGTCGGGAGAGTGTCTGTTCCTTGCAACACGAACCCTGGGAGGGATAGTGGGTTAGTTGGGAGAGTGTCTGTTCCTTGCAACACGAACCCTGGGGGATAGTGGGTTAGTTGGGAGGGTGTCTGTTCCTTGCAACACGAACCCTGGGGGATAGTGGGTTAGTTGGGAGAGTGTCTGTTCCTTGCAACACGAACCCTGGGGGATAGTGGGTTAGTTGGGAGAGTGTCTGTTCCTTGCAACACGAACCCTGGGGGATAGTGGGTTAGTTGGGAGAGTGTCTGTTCCTTGCAACACGAACCCTGGGGGATAGTGGGTTAGTTGGGAGAGTGTCTGTTCCTTGCAACACGAACCCTGGGAGGTATAGTGGGTTAGTTGGGAGAGTGTCTGTTCCTTGCAACACGAACCCTGGGGGATAGTGGGTTAGTCGGGAGAGTGTCTGTTCCTTGCAACACGAACCCTGGGAGGGATAGTGGGTTAGTTGGGAGAGTGTCTGTTCCTTGCAACACGAACCCTGGGGGATAGTGGGTTAGTTGGGAGGGTGTCTGTTCCTTGCAACACGAACCCTGGGGGATAGTGGGTTAGTTGGGAGAGTGTCTGTTCCTTGCAACACGAACCCTGGGGGATAGTGGGTTAGTTGGGAGAGTGTCTGTTCCTTGCAACACGAACCCTGGGGGATAGTGGGTTAGTTGGGAGAGTGTCTGTTCCTTGCAACACGAACCCTGGGGGATAGTGGGTTAGTTGGGAGAGTGTCTGTTCCTTGCAACACGAACCCTGGGGGATAGTGGGTTAGTCGGGAGGGTGTCTGTTCCTTGCAACACGAACCCTGGGAGGTATAGTGGGTTAGTTGGGAGAGTGTCTGTTCCTTGCAACACGAACCCTGGGGGATAGTGGGTTAGTTGGGAGAGTGTCTGTTCCTTGCAACACGAACCCTGGGGGATAGTGGGTTAGTTGGGAGAGTGTCTGTTCCTTGCAACACGAACCCTGGGGGATAGTGGGTTAGTCGGGAGGGTGTCTGTTCCTTGCAACACGAACCCTGGGAGATAGTGGGTTAGTTGGGAGAGTGTCTGTTCCTTGCAACACGAACCCTGGGAGGTATAGTGGGTTAGTTGGGAGAGTGTCTGTTCCTTGCAACACGAACCCTGGGGGATAGTGGGTTAGTTGGGAGAGTGTCTGTTCCTTGCAACACGAACCCTGGGGGATAGTGGGTTAGTTGGGAGAGTGTCTGTTCCTTGCAACACGAACCCTGGGAGGTATAGTGGGTTAGTTGGGAGAGTGTCTGTTCCTTGCAACACGAACCCTGGGGGATAGTGGGTTAGTCGGGAGAGTGTCTGTTCCTTGCAACACGAACCCTGGGGGATAGTGGGTTAGTTGGGAGAGTGTCTGTTCCTTGCAACACGAACCCTGGGGGATAGTGGGTTAGTTGGGAGAGTGTCTGTTCCTTGCAACACGAACCCTGGGGGATAGTGGGTTAGTTGGGAGGGTGTCTGTTCCTTGCAACACGAACCCTGGGGGATAGTGGGTTAGTTGGGAGGGTGTCTGTTCCTTGCAACACGAACCCTGGGGGATAGTGGGTTAGTTGGGAGAGTGTCTGTTCCTTGCAACACGAACCCTGGGGGATAGTGGGTTAGTTGGGAGGGTGTCTGTTCCTTGCAACACGAACCCTGGGGGATAGTGGGTTAGTGTCTGTTCCTTGCAACACGAACCCTGGGGGATAGTGGGTTAGTTGGGAGAGTGTCTGTTCCTTGCAACACGAACCCTGGGGGATAGTGGGTTAGTTGGGAGGGTGTCTGTTCCTTGCAACACGAACCCTGGGGGATAGTGGGTTAGTTGGGAGGGTGTCTGTTCCTTGCAACACGAACCCTGGGGGATATAGTGGGTTAGTTGGGAGAGTGTCTGTTCCTTGCAACACGAACCCTGGGGGATAGTGGGTTAGTTGGGAGAGTGTCTGTTCCTTGCAACACGAACCCTGGGGGATAGTGGGTTAGTTGGGAGAGTGTCTGTTCCTTGCAACACGAACCCTGGGGGATAGTGGGTTAGTTGGGAGAGTGTCTGTTCCTTGCAACACGAACCCTGGGGGATAGTGGGTTAGTTGGGAGAGTGTCTGTTCCTTGCAACACGAACCCTGGGGGATATAGTGGGTTAGTTGGGAGAGTGTCTGTTCCTTGCAACACGAACCCTGGGGGATAGTGGGTTAGTTGGGAGAGTGTCTGTTCCTTGCAACACGAACCCTGGGGGATAGTGGGTTAGTTGGGAGAGTGTCTGTTCCTTGCAACACGAACCCTGGGGGATAGTGGGTTAGATGGGAGAGTGTCTGTTCCTTGCAACACGAACCCTGGGGGATAGTGGGTTAGTTGGGAGAGTGTCTGTTCCTTGCAACACGAACCCTGGGGGATAGTGGGTTAGTTGGGAGAGTGTCTGTTCCTTGCAACACGAACCCTGGGGGGTAGTGGGTTAGTTGGGAGAGTGTCTGTTCCTTGCAACACGAACCCTGGGGGATAGTGGGTTAGTTGGGAGAGTGTCTGTTCCTTGCAACACGAACCCTGGGAGGGATAGTGGGTTAGTTGGGAGAGTGTCTGTTCCTTGCAACACGAACCCTGGGGGATAGTGGGTTAGTTGGGAGAGTGTCTGTTCCTTGCAACACGAACCCTGGGGGATAGTGGGTTAGATGGGAGAGTGTCTGTTCCTTGCAACACGAACCCTGGGGGATAGTGGGTTAGTTGGGAGAGTGTCTGTTCCTTGCAACACGAACCCTGGGGGATAGTGGGTTAGTTGGGAGAGTGTCTGTTCCTTGCAACACGAACCCTGGGGGATAGTGGGTTAGTTGGGAGAGTGTCTGTTCCTTGCAACACGAACCCTGGGGGATAGTGGGTTAGTTGGGAGAGTGTCTGTTCCTTGCAACACGAACCCTGGGAGGGATAGTGGGTTAGTTGGGAGAGTGTCTGTTCCTTGCAACACGAACCCTGGGAGGCATAGTGGGTTAGTTGGGAGAGTGTCTGTTCCTTGCAACACGAACCCTGGGGGATAGTGGGTTAGATGGGAGAGTGTCTGTTCCTTGCAACACGAACCCTGGGGGATAGTGGGTTAGTTGGGAGAGTGTCTGTTCCTTGCAACACGAACCCTGGGGGATAGTGGGTTAGTTGGGAGAGTGTCTGTTCCTTGCAACACGAACCCTGGGGGATAGTGGGTTAGTTGGGAGAGTGTCTGTTCCTTGCAACACGAACCCTGGGGGATAGTGGGTTAGATGGGAGAGTGTCTGTTCCTTGCAACACGAACCCTGGGGGATAGTGGGTTAGTTGGGAGGGTGTCTGTTCCTTGCAACACGAACCCTGGGGGATAGTGGGTTAGTTGGGAGAGTGTCTGTTCCTTGCAACACGAACCCTGGGGGATAGTGGGTTAGTTGGGAGAGTGTCTGTTCCTTGCAACACGAACCCTGGGGGATAGTGGGTTAGTTGGGAGAGTGTCTGTTCCTTGCAACACGAACCCTGGGGGATAGTGGGTTAGTTGGGAGGGTGTCTGTTCCTTGCAACACGAACCCTGGGGGATAGTGGGTTAGTTGGGAGAGTGTCTGTTCCTTGCAACACGAACCCTGGGGGATAGTGGGTTAGTTGGGAGAGTGTCTGTTCCTTGCAACACGAACCCTGGGGGATAGTGGGTTAGTTGGGAGAGTGTCTGTTCCTTGCAACACGAACCCTGGGAGGGATAGTGGGTTAGTCGGGAGGGTGTCTGTTCCTTGCAACACAAACCCTGGGGGATAGTGGGTTAGTTGGGAGAGTGTCTGTTCCTTGCAACACGAACCCTGGGAGGGGTAGTGGGTTAGTTGGGAGAGTGTCTGTTCCTTGCAACACGAACCCTGGGGGATAGTGGGTTAGTTGGGAGAGTGTCTGTTCCTTGCAACACGAACCCTGGGGGATATAGTGGGTTAGTTGGGAGAGTGTCTGTTCCTTGCAACACGAACCCTGGGGGATAGTGGGTTAGTTGGGAGAGTGTCTGTTCCTTGCAACACGAACCCTGGGGGATAGTGGGTTAGTTGGGAGAGTGTCTGTTCCTTGCAACACGAACCCTGGGGGATAGTGGGTTAGTTGGGAGAGTGTCTGTTCCTTGCAACACGAACCCTGGGGGATAGTGGGTTAGTTGGGAGAGTGTCTGTTCCTTGCAACACGAACCCTGGGGGATAGTGGGTTAGTTGGGAGAGTGTCTGTTCCTTGCAACACGAACCCTGGGGGATAGTGGGTTAGTTGGGAGAGTGTCTGTTCCTTGCAACACGAACCCTGGGGGATAGTGGGTTAGTTGGGAGAGTGTCTGTTCCTTGCAACACGAACCCTGGGGGATAGTGGGTTAGTTGGGAGAGTGTCTGTTCCTTGCAACACGAACCCTGGGGGATAGTGGGTTAGTTGGGAGAGTGTCTGTTCCTTGCAACACGAACCCTGGGGGATAGTGGGTTAGTTGGGAGAGTGTCTGTTCCTTGCAACACGAACCCTGGGGGATAGTGGGTTAGTTGGGAGAGTGTCTGTTCCTTGCAACACGAACCCTGGGGGATAGTGGGTTAGTTGGGAGGGTGTCTGTTCCTTGCAACACGAACCCTGGGAGGTATAGTGGGTTAGATGGGAGAGTGTCTGTTCCTTGCAACACGAACCCTGGGGGATAGTGGGTTAGTTGGGAGAGTGTCTGTTCCTTGCAACACGAACCCTGGGGGATAGTGGGTTAGTTGGGAGAGTGTCTGTTCCTTGCAACACGAACCCTGGGGGATAGTGGGTTAGTTGGGAGGGTGTCCGTTCCTTGCAACACGAACCCTGGGGGATAGTGGGTTAGTTGGGAGAGTGTCTGTTCCTTGCAACACGAACCCTGGGGGATAGTGGGTTAGTTGGGAGGGTGTCTGTTCCTTGCAACACGAACCCTGGGGGATAGTGGGTTAGTGTCTGTTCCTTGCAACACGAACCCTGGGGGATAGTGGGTTAGTTGGGAGAGTGTCTGTTCCTTGCAACACGAACCCTGGGGGATAGTGGGTTAGTTGGGAGAGTGTCTGTTCCTTGCAACACGAACCCTGGGGGATAGTGGGTTAGTTGGGAGAGTGTCTGTTCCTTGCAACACGAACCCTGGGGGATAGTGGGTTAGTTGGGAGGGTGTCTGTTCCTTGCAACACGAACCCTGGGGGGTAGTGGGTTAGTTGGGAGAGTGTCTGTTCCTTGCAACACGAACCCTGGGGGATATAGTGGGTTAGTTGGGAGAGTGTCTGTTCCTTGCAACACGAACCCTGGGGGATAGTGGGTTAGTTGGGAGAGTGTCTGTTCCTTGCAACACGAACCCTGGGGGATAGTGGGTTAGTTGGGAGAGTGTCTGTTCCTTGCAACACGAACCCTGGGGGATAGTGGGTTAGTTGGGAGAGTGTCTGTTCCTTGCAACACGAACCCTGGGGGATAGTGGGTTAGTTGGGAGAGTGTCTGTTCCTTGCAACACGAACCCTGGGGGATAGTGGGTTAGTTGATAGTAGTGTAACTATGGTAACTAGTAGTGTAACTATGGTAACTAGATGATAGGTCACACAGGTCAAAAGGAAATCGTGGCACGTGTTGAATCGCGAGTGAGATTTGGAACAATGAGAACATTTTGCCTCGTTTGGCTTGTCGTGGCGATGCGATTTTTGGCCTAAATAATCGCGATTTTATTTTGTCCTTGCTTAGTAATTAGTATAGTTATAGTGGTCTGTCGTATTCTCTTTAGATTATTTGTGGTTTATTGATGGTTGGGGGTTAGTTGTGAAACGTCAGTTTGAATTCCAAAAAAACAAATGTTAACAGACTTACCCGTGCCGATAAGCCAAGCGGAGTTGTAGTAAGAGAGCTCGTTGAGATCGTCGTCCTCTTCAACCTTCTCCACCAAACAGTGGTATTCCTTCGTATCTACAAACCTGCATTTCCTTTCTGCCTTTATCTTCCTTCTATACAGGCATTTAACACAGGTGCAAACCTGCATAGCGTGTATTTTCCTCCCATAGCTTCCAAATGGAGAGAATTTGCTGAAGAACGTCGTCAAGAAACCAATCACTAAGATGAGACCTATGATGGTTAGCCACACTGAGATTTCAAAAGGTTCTAGAAAGAAGAAGTAGTTTGTTGAACTCTTGGAGGACTTAATGTACGTGATGATTGAAGCTTGGTCCTCAAATATTGAAGATGTGTAGTCGATATATTGTGACCGCTCCGTGTTGATTGACAAGACAATCGTTAGATCAGTTTTCCGATCCAAAATATCTCCAATCATTCCGTTCCATCTTCTAGTTTCCGGATCCAGTCCTCCGTATTTGTTATCTGCAGGCCTGACATACTCGTAGGTGAAGTTTAGGTCCTGCTGAAGATGACTGATGATATCAGGGTTCCAACCAAACCAGCAGTCCGGAGAAGACGTGTTCCTCCCCTCACACTCCGGCTTTAAGAAGGCTATAGGTGGTTCAGGGACAATACCTATCCTGAGATGGTATCCTGTAAGAGAACTGCCGATACCAGTGGGGGACGCTGTACCACCTCCCAGGAACTGAACGTCCTTCCTCCCTGTCCACGGTACCTTTTCATCGGACAGATCACGTAGCCCGCTGTTGTCCCATGTCCCCACCTTTATGAAGCCGTCTCGTTTAAAATTCACTATGTCATATGATGGGTCTCCCAGGCCCAAATGTATTCCTGCATCAAGGTTCCCAACTATTTTATTATACAATGTCCGACCCTCTTCCCAGAAAGTTGCTGATTTGCAGTTAAGGGAGGGGGAGCTATGGTAACTAGTAGTGTTACTATGGTAACTAGAGGGGGAGCTACTCCAGGAACCTCTGTCCAGATCCGTCAGAGAGAGGTGGACCACTTTCAGAGCAGTTGCTATTTTAACAGATGGTAACTGCAGATCCGACCCGGGCCCCCCTGATAAGATATAGGAGTCTGCTAGGTCGTTATACTGTTGAGAGCCTTTACCGTAGTAAGGAAGGGTTCCTATCAGTCCTGTGTAGAAGGAGGGGTAGGAGGAGTTCTGATAGGCAATACTCTCCGGTCTGGCCGTTATTCCGTCCGTAGTCAGCCAGATAAAGGAGTCGTCCATCAACCCCATAGCTTGAGCTTCCCTGAGATTGGATACACGTTATTACTTTAATGTACATTGTACAGGGCACCTTCAACTGCTAGTTTTTGTATCGGAGTATAATTCGTCAGAATAGTTTGACAGTCGCGGGCTCTATGTTTAACATCCAGAATTCAGCTGGATTATCTATTAACTGCACAAAGGAAGCAGTACATTCATTACAGGACAATCCTACTTCAGGTTCATTGAGTAAATCGTACCCGCTATTTGCGTTACACCTGGCAAGTATCTGGACTAATGATAACTTAGGATCCCCATTAATCATTAATTCCTCTCACTACATTCATTGCTGACAGTATTTCATGTGAGATATACATACATTTAACTCATTCGTTGTTTGATTGCGGGAAACATTGATCTTGTCCTTGAGATATGTACATTTAAACGTTGTACCAACGCAGGTTGTCTACCTATAGAGCTATAGTTAAACGTTAATTCCACAACATTTCGCGTTACCTGACCTTTCCCATGTGGCTGCAAAACACAAACTTGCAATTATATCCTCTTTGAACCTTGTCTTATTAATCTTTACATCTCGTGAAGATCTTTACATACAGCCATTATTACTACTTGTGGTGCAATATACCACTATTATTTTGCCCAAGTTTAATCAAAACTTCCATCGCTAACTTGTAAAGACCTCTACCCAGCCATGAAGAACAAGAAGAATTGTACTTGCTTCGGACTCCTCATCGTCTTCCTTTCAGTGAACATCCTCGTAGCAGTATTGTTTTACCCTCTCGATGGCATTACCCAGATTAGTATTGTAGCTGTTCAGGCAAACAATAATCAGAACAGGACATTTCCTCACAATAATCAGAACGGGACATTTCCTCACAATAATCAGAGCGGGAAATTACTTCGCAATAATCAGAGCGGGACATTTCCTCACAATAATCAGAAAAGCATACGGCTCCCTCAGTCTAATGTAACTGAAGGTACAGCAAATTCAGAACAACCATCACGTACTTTATTCCGTGTACAGTTTGTAACGGAGGGAAGGTGTCTCGGAATATCGGGCACGAAGAAACCTGTTGTTAAATTCTGTAACCCACTTGAGAGAGATACTTTTGTTTTCATGGATGGTAAGATAAGATCGGAGGAACTCAACTTATGTTTAAGTGAGGATCGTTCTGATAACAAATTATTGTTGTTTCTGGATTGCGGAGAGACGGCTAGATTCGAACTTGTCGATGAGATCCTTGCCAAGATACCGGACAATGAATCTGAGGAGGAAACTTATTTTTCAGCTTTGAATGACACAGAAGATTCGGGATGTCCTTCAACAAACAGTCCTGAAATAGGTGGCAAAGTTGGGTTAACAACCTGCAGGATAGAGGCTTCAAAAGTAGGGCTACTGGAGGAAATATCATTCCTCAAAGATAGAGCAGCTCTTCTTCTACCACTCCCGCCTGATGACACGTGTAATTTCCCTGCTTGTGGTGTGAACAAACGCGCACCTCCTGTAAAAACCTTGTTTGCTAATCAGATAGAGAGATGTGGTGACTTGTCAGAGTGTGTTACCGTGGTTACTAAGACTGCTAGAAGACCGCTATTCGTTATCAGACTTGCTAAGAGTCTGCGAAAACAGTTTAAACTTGACCTTCCTATGATAGTCATTGACGACGGTCCTGAAGGTTATAGCTCTGAGATAATGGATGAGATCGCCAAGTTCCCTAATATGCAATACGTCATCTCCTCTCCAGATCTAGGCATTGCCGAGGGGAGGAATATAGGTCTACGAATGGTGAAGACTAAATATTTCTTCCTATTAGATGATGATATGGTCGCTACAGAGAGGACAGAAGTTACTAAATTGGTGGAGATATTGGACACCACCGACGCCACTCTCGTCGGGGGAGGGTCTACCTTGCAGGTTTCTTAAGGTTTGGTCTGGATCTTCATGGGAAAACAACTTTATTCCACTATAAAAACACATGTATTACTGCTAACCAAACTGTAACAGGGTTTCCTGATTGTTTTAGATGTGAAATCACCGCCAATATATTCGTGGCAAGAACACAAGATGCTATAGCGGTAGGAGGTTGGAGCAAAGAACTTAAAATAGGTGAGCACAAAGATTTCTTCCTGCGGTTGAAGGGGGCGGGAAAGAAAGTAGTGTTCTGTCCGGCATTTACCGCAGCAAACGTTCACAGCTCAAAGGGAGTCGAGTTTGTGGGAGGATTAACAGAAGTGTTCAGTCGAGAGAAGTACAAGTTTCTAAGGAATCTTCGTTTAGAAATCATGGAAACGAAGTTTTGTAACCACTGGAACATTAAACAATTAATAGGGACAAAACACCAAAGCCCTGTTTGGATTGATGACATTGACTAGGTAACCAGGTAACCAGGTAACCAGGTAACCAGATAACCAGGTCACCAGGTAACCAGGTTACCAGGTTACCAGGTTACCAGGTTACTGTGGTAATAGGGACAGATCACCAGTACCCTGCCTGGATTGATGACATTGACTAGGTAACCAGGTTACCAGGTTACCAGGTTACCAGGTTACTATGGTAATAGGGACAGATCACCATGCCAGTACCCTGCCTGGATTGATGACATTGACTAGGGGTAAAGCATATTTAGGTAAGAATACTGTGATATTAAGCTATGCTCAAAATGTATTTCATCTTCAACGTAACGTCTACCTTTTGAAATGAGTGGATTGGAAGCTCTACTGGTCAGAAAGACTTACTGTAAGTGACATATCAGGTCTTGATTCTTAGTTTAATTTGTATAACTGATGTGCTCAAAACCACTTGTTTTTATTTTAGCCTGACATATGTGTAATATTTAAATATTATTGTCCTAAATATTGTGTACATTTTGTTAATGTGAAGGATACTTTAATCGAATGTTTTGGATTTCGTAAAATTCTTCTAAACTCCAAAAGATGCCAACAAATAACTAAAGTAATCCACGAAAAGCTCTACTCACTTGAAAATCTTTTTCGCGTATTTGCCACCACAGTTGAGAACAATAACCTTGGTGAGCGAATCTTTGATAAGTTGAAGCTGCTTCTGGAAGACAGGCAGATGATTTGACAGGTTCATCCGCACATCAAAGTGCTGAACATCCTTGATGCTGAAGTTATCGTCTTGGGACGCTAAATATTGCAGATACACGATACTGTTTATTCCATAATCATCTGCTGAGGCGAGGATTGAGAACTCGTACCATTTATACTCCTTCAACAAGTCGAATATAGCCCGACTCTGGTGAGCGTCTGAGGGGGACAGCCGGATCTCAAAATCATCTGATCTGTGAAAGTCAGTGAAAGGATTAGTGGCAACTGCAGCTATGAGAGGAAGATGGAACTGATTGGCGAGGTTAGCCTGGATATCTGTTAAAGTAGAGTCACATGCTGATATCACAGCTACCACCTCCTGCTCCAGTAAAGCACAGAAGCAGGTCTGGAGACTGAGGTAGGTGGAGTCATGGTACTGCTCCACTAGCTCCACAGTAGTGTCACTGCTGTCTAGCCTCGAGATGGTGTACTCAGCTAGTCTCCTGATGGCATCCGCCCCCTCCTCATCTTCAGAATCGAGGATGAGTCCTATCTTGTAGCCATGACAACACGCGAAAACAAGGACGAAGAGATGCGGTAACATTGTATCCTGAAGATATGAAATGATTTCACAAAAGGTGATATTGTGGATTTGGTTTAGTCAGCACTAAGCGTGTTAAGATACTTGACGCTTTGTAGGTTAATTGAGAGGTTGGGAGAATTCACTGTATGTTAAACAGTGGTCGACTGGGGGCAGGATTCTGACCGGAACAATAGACTCAATTTAAATACTTTCAACTCTACTAATACTATGTAACAAATAATTTGTTAAACAATTAATTCAATTTAAGAAATTGATTATTGACCAAAAGACTATTAAATAGTGATAACTTAAATTATTGGACAAAAGACATCATTCAAGATAGATCAATCAAGCGGCCGGCCAGTTTCCGCTGTTATTACTACCAGAGACAATTTGATGAAAATGCTTATTGCACTACAATACTGGCGACTGGCATCACCTCATACTGAGTTTAAAATGAAAATCCTAAACCAGCAGCGTTTATTCCATCTGGAGCATTATTTCGCGTGACGACGTTCGTTAACCACCTAATCGCGGTAGCCACTAGGTCGGTCTCCAATAAAGCAACTTTAATTTCACTCTCGAGAAATAGGAACAATTACAGAAAACGATTTAACCATTAATCCATGCCTTGAGAAAAAATGTTGATAAGCGGTTATAATTGCTCTTGTGTAGGCAACAAAGTTGCCAGGTTAAGATTTGTTCTACCCATGCGGGTCACGAACTAGAAGATCTTAGATCACCTCGAGAATCTTGATAAAATTAGCGCTAATTTAGTGATTTGCGGTCGCCTCAGGTGCAACCTTTATAATTACACTTGGTCTGTTCGGAATAGAACGAGAATTAGATTATAATTACGCCGAAGAGTCTGGACCCGTTCTAACTTCTAATTACTTCTGTCAGATAAGAACTAGACGTTTTGACGTTAATCTAACAAAGGACACGTTAGGTACCGTCTAGTCGGGCTCTAAGAGGTGACGTAATTAACGGCGGAGTGCAGCACTGGTAATTATACTGGACAATAAATCCAGCCAAGGATACGACGATACGTTATAGCTTCGTACTTTATACAGTCTTTATTTGAAAACTATTTGATTCACAGTTAACCGTTAGGAGACCGCCATGTACCCTTGTGGATGTACTATTGTGGAACAGAGTTCCCAATAACAAGTTGATTGGCTGCACAGAAATCATGAGCTGGTCCCTTTGTCGCTTGATGAACTATGGAGAGATTCTCCACCAATAACTCTCGAATTCATATCTGTTTGAAGTAACTTTTCATTGAAGTCACCCTGTAGCAGTTACAGATATGTCGGGGGAGTTCACCAAACGTGTCTGATAAAACGTTGTAAAAACGATTCTTTCTTTCCGTCATCTGCACGTTCAGTCGGATGCGTAGTCTACAACAAACAGATATGTTGAGTTGTTGCCGTGTATAAACTAGCTGTTAAGACGCTTATGATGTAGGTACATAAGAGATCAGGGTAGTTCTGCCTTTTTGGATAGAATAGGCCAACCCCTTGCTTTTGATCCATCTCCCCTACAGAATGAATAAGTTAACTACCATTGTCCAAAAGTGTACTTCCAGATCTTGGCATATTGAGTTTTCAGTAATACCCAAATATCAAAGACTGTAGTGATCAATTTTCTGACTGTGTTGGTTAAAGCTTGATGATGAGCTACTAAGTTAAAACAGCAATGCGATCATAAATATATTACTCCATCCTTACAGTTTTTATCGCCTGTTTTCTTGAAACTTTCTTGTTCCACCTCCGTCTAAGGCAAGATGCCCACTTCGTTAATTTAAGTGATCATTTTACAGCTGCGATAAGGGTTAATTTATATTATTTAACCTTGTGGTTACAATATAACGTATTTTATTATTATTATTATTATCTTGCGTGGTACAAACGTGGCGAAATTGTTGTTAGGGACTGTAATAAGAGCGGTTATGTTTGTACACTGACATACCATACCAATAGATTTGGGGGGGGGGGGGGGGGGGGGGGCCGCCAACCATATTAAAGTATGTTAAAGTTATATCCCCGGGTCAAAAATCAGGAAAAAAATCTTAATTTGTAATATAATTTAATTTACCTACAATTAGATGATTTTTTATTTTTCGTTAAGTTTTACATGATGAACCTATATTTTTCACCTGATTCGCAAGATAGACTGTTTAGGACTTAGTACTGACTTTCCATCAGAATGGTCAAAAATTGGTGCTGAGCTATGAGCTTTTAAAAAATATGCCCATATTTGGGCATACGTTTTGCCAAATTCGCTTTTGCCCCAATTCGATTAAAATTGCAATATTTTTTAATTGAGGACTTACTCTAATGTGAAAGATAAAAACTCTGTGTTGTTGAAATTTAGTGGAATCTAAGGTAAAAAAGTCTCATGAAACAAAAATTGGAAAATTGCACATTATTATCTCTGTTCGGAATACTGCCAAATTGACTTCATTAAAAATTGAAATTACTCCATCAGTTTTCAATATTTTTTCAAGAACTTTTTGGAATCGATTTTGAATTGCATTTCAAGTTATTTTGGGTACAATTTTCGATGTAGCTCCAAGGTAGGGATATATTAAGAATTTTGTAGGTATATTAAAGTATATTAAAGTATATCCGGGTCAAAAATCGGGAAAAATCTACATTTTAATATACTTTTATATGGTTGGCCCCCCCCACCAGATAAGTCCATCTCAGTTTGATTTAACGGTTAGCATGGTGGAAACATGACTAAGTAACCCAAAATGACACTGTGGTGGGATGGGGGTTTACCCCCCCTTCCTTGGCCTTTCAATGCAGAAGCTGTTAGGTTAATAGGATTTTCAAGTTTACTTCAAGTTAATAATTCATGGATTAAGCTCTTATTTTATTTATCGATTAAAGGTATGTGAATTAATACTTATTGTTTCCATTGAAAACTTATTGTTTCATTGAGCTCTAGAATTAGATGCTCTAGTATCAAATTTACACAGCAATACAATAAGAATATAAAATAATTCAAGAAGCTCAATCTGCTGTGCATGAAATTCAGTCAGTCGAAAACTGTAGTAGAATACCCTTCTAGGGAAATAAAGATATCAGCATGTAAAACCACAATAATAATTATTTATGAGTGATATATGTAAAGATATGATTTAACAGTGAAGTGGGATCCCTCGTTTGAACATTCCCGTGCTCTATCAAGTTCTTAGAGGTTTGCGAAAGGTGTTGTTCTTTACCTTCGGGGACGCTTTCCAAGCACTTCTCGGAAGGACTTCAGTGGACTGTCTGCTTGAAATTATCCCACATGTCCTCAAGGTTGACCTAATTAGCCTGACAATCAAAACGGTTCTTGAGAGCCACGTTGTACTCTTGAACCTTAGACGAGTTCGCAAATGTTCGATGCAGGCACATGTGCCTTGTAGCAGTGAATCTTAGTACCGACGGCCTTTGATTTGCAGCGTCCACGAACAAGATAGTGATCTGAACCAATGTCAGCCCCACGACATACATTAACTTCGTGTCAGCGTGTGTTGGAATCGTTCACTAATACAATTTGATCGATTTGATTCACAGTTAACCCTTAGGAGACAGCCATGTACCCTTGTGGTTGTCTCTATGTGGAACAGAGTTCACCATTAAAATGTTGATTGGCTGACAGAAATCCATGAGCATGGTCCAATTGTCGCTTGATGAATATGGATAGATTCTCCTCCAATAACTCCCTCGAATACCATATCTGTTTTGAAGTAACTTTTCCATGAAGGCACCCAGTAGCTGTTTTCAGTTCATGTAGGGCAAGTTCTCCAACGTGTCTGATAAAAGTTGTTAAACGAGAATTCTCTCCGTCATCAGCACCGTCAGTGGTGGTAAGGCTTCAACAACAGATATGTTTGAGGTGTATGCCGTGTAACCTAGTGTTACAGTACCGCTCTGATGTAGGTACATAAGAGATCTGGAGTTCCTGCCCTTTTTGGAAAGTCATAGGCCAAAACCTTGCCTTTTGATACCATTCTCCCCTACAGATTGAATAGAGTCTACATTGTCCAAAAAGTTGTACTTCCAGTTCCTGGCATATGGTTTCAGTAATACCCAAAATATCAAGACTGTAGTGATCTATTTTTTGATGAGGTTGATAAAGCTTGTGAAGATGAGCTGACTATAGATAAAACAGCAATGCGACTCATAAATATAATATCACAATTCTTACAGTTTATCGCCTGTTTTCTGAAATTTTCTTGTTCCACTCGTCTAAGCAAATGCACACTCTCGTTAATTTAAGTGTCATTTTTAGCTGAGCACTATAAGGGTTAAATTTAAATTATTTAACCTTTTGGTTAAATAATTACAGTAATTTATTATTATTTACTATTATCTTGCGTGGTACAACAGTGGCGTAATTGTGTGTTAGGGATGTCACAAAGAGACGGTTAAGTTGTACTACTGAATACCTTACCATAGATTTGGGGGGGGGGGGGGGGGGGGGGGAGGCAACCAATTAAAGTATGTTAAAGTATATCCATGGGTCAAAATCGGAAAAAAAATCATACAGTTTATATAATTTATATACATAACAATTAGATGATTTTTATTTTCTTCGTTAAGATTTACATGATAAAACTATATTTTTCACTCAGATTGAAGATAGCTGGTGTTTTAGGACTAGTACTTGACTTTCCATCCAGATTGGTCAAAAATTGGGCTGAGCTATGAGCTTTAATAATATGCCCATATTTGGGCATACGCTTTTGCCCAAATTCGCTTTTGCCCAAATTCGAATAAATTTTCAATTTTTTTTATTGAGACTAACTCTATGTGTAAGTATAACTCAGTGTTTGTTGATATTGTGGATACTAAGTAAAAAGACATACATGAACAAAATTGGGGAAAAAATTGACAATAATATCTTGGTCGGAATACTAGCAAAATGAGTATTAAAATTGATTAATATCCATCAGTTTTCAATATTTTTTCAGTACTTTTTTGGATTCGATTAGGAATGCTTTTTCAAGCTTATTTTGGGTAAACAAATTTTCGATGTAGGCCTC